GCACTCTACCCAGGGGGACAGCTTGAGGCTCTGTCTCAAAAAAAAAAAAAAAAAGAAAGAAAGAAAATGGATCAACCACTTTCTTCTTGGCTCCCTTTTTGCCGCCTTTCATAAGACACTTGTTCTGCCAACTGCCTTGATGGTGCTCAGCAAGCCAAAAGGCTACATAGGGGCTCAGTGCCTGTAGCCCAGTGGTTACGGTGCCAGCCACATACACTGAAGCTGGTGGGTTCGAACCCAGCCTGGGCCAGCTAAACAACAATGACAACTGCAACAAAAAATACCTGGGCATTGTGGTGGGCACCTGTGGTCCCAGTTTCTTGGGAGGCTGAGGCAAAAGAATCACTTAAGCCCCAGAGTTTGAGGTTGCCTTGAGATGTGACGCCATGGCACTCTACTGAGGGCGACATAGTGGGACTCTGTCTTAAAAAAAAAAAAAAAGCAAAAACTCCCCAAAACAAAAGCTTGTAAAGGATCTTAAGAGAGCCTTTGATTTGTGAATATTTACACATGAAAAAATTGGGTAACTTAGAAGAAATGAATAAATTCCTAGAACCCTGCAACCTATCAAGACTGAATCATGAAGAAATAGAAAATATGAACTGACAGATAATAAGTAAGGAACCAGATGAGTAATCAAAAATCCCTCAACAAAGAAGAGCCCAGGAGCAGATGGCTTCACTGGAAATTCTAATGAGCACTTAAGGAGGAATTCATGCCGGTCCTTCTCAGACTCTTCCGAAAAGTTGAAGAGGAGGGAACACTTCCAAATTCATTTTATGAGTCCAATATTACCCTGACACCAAAGACAGACAAAAACATTACATGAAAAGAAAATTAAAGGCCAGTATCTCTGATGAACACAGATGTAAAAATCCTCAACAAACTTTGAGCAAACTGAATTAAACAACACATTAAAAGAAACATACACTATGATCAAGTCGAATTTATTCCCATCCAGGATTCAAGGATGGCTCAACACAGAAAATCAACAAATGTGATACACCACACTAACAGAATGAGGGATAAAAATCATATAATCATCTCAGTAGATGCAGAAAAAACTTTTGACAGGGTGATGCCTGTGGCTCAAAGGAGTAGGGCGCTGGCCCCATATACCAGAGGTGGTGGTGGGTTCAAACCTGGCCCCAGCCAAAAACTGCAACAAAAAAAAAATTGACAAAAGTCGATATTCTTTTATGATAAAAAATAAAAAGAAACTGCTCAACATAATAAACACACATGACATCTTACAGCTAACATCACGCTCAATGGTGAAATGTGAAAAGCTTTTCCTGTAAGATGGGGAGCAAGGCAAGGTACCTATTCTCCACACTCCTACTTAGCACTGTACTGGAAGTCATAGTCAGGGCAGTTAGGGAAGAGAAAAATAACTAAAAGGCATCCAAATTGGAAGAGAAAAAGTAAATTGCCTCTGTTTATAGATGACATGATATTGGAGCAAATCTTCAAGACTCCCTGAACTTTGAGTAAGAAACTTCACGGTCTAAAAAAAACCATGAAGATTTAGAAATGATTTTCTTTTTTTCTTCCTACTTCCTATGTTGTACCTGTGAGAACAGAGGCTGACCTTCCTGGAGTTAAGTGCTCACCCTCAGTCTCCAGTGCCCACAGGCCTAGGCATTCTTGTAACATCATCTGCTTATGGCTGGTGCAGCTTCCTGATTCACACCAAATAAGAAGCCCAAATTTTATTTCCATAAATGTATTTATATTCCCCCAGGGTGGCTGTTTTTAGCATAGAGGTTAAGAGATGGGCTTCGGAATTCTATGGAGCTGGTGAGAGTCCTAACTCTGCCTCTCCCTCACACTGTGGCCTTGGATAACTCACCTGACCTCTCTGGATCTTGGTTTCTTCATCTGTAAAATGGATGTCATAACACCTCATAGGGATATGGCAAGAATAAATGAGATAATGTGTGTACAGCACATGACATGATGCTAAATAGCTCTTTAAAAATATTGTGTCTACTTCTCAGGTTAATACTATAACCTTTTTTAATTTTTAAAAAAGCTGAGTACAGTAATGCAGTCATGGGGTACAATGTGCTGGTTTTATATACTACTTGAAATATTTTCATCAAACTGGTTAACATAGCCTTCGTGAGACAGAGTCCCCCTCTGCCACCCAGGCTAAAGTGCAGTGGCATCATCATAGCTCATAGCAACCTCAAATTCCTGGGCTCAAGCAATCCTCCTGTCTCAGCCTCCTGAGTAGCTGGGACTACAGGGGCCTGTCACACTCCTGGCTAGTTTGTCTATTTTTAGTAGAGACAGGGTCTCACTCTTGCTCAGGCTGGTCTTGAACTCCTGAGCTCAAGTGGTCCTCCCTCCTCAGCCTTCCAGTGTGCTAAGATTACAGATGTGAGCCAGTGTCTCCCCCTTCCCCACCTAATTCAGATTTTTTTAACTGCTCACCCTCTCTCTTTCACTAACATTGAACAATGTGCTTGTGAACAATGTTGCATATATCATTTTAGGTTTTTCCTTGCACAGAATTGTTTTTATAAAAATGGAAGAATTTGGGGCAGTGCCCATAACTCAGTGGGTAGGGTGCTGGCCACATGTACCAGGGCTGGTGGGTTTGAACCCAGCCTGGGCCTGCTAAAACAAAAATTAGCTGGGCGTTGTGGTGGGTGCCTGAAGTCCTAGCTACTTGGGAGGCTGAGGCCGGAGAATTGCTTAAGCCCAGGAGTTTGAGGTTGCTGTGAGCTGTGATGCCATGGCAACTCTACTGAGGGTGACATAGTGAGACTCTGTCTCTTAAAAAAAAAAAAAGAAGAATTCTGTTTTGTAATCTGCTTTTCTTGGCGAAACAATTATGATGGGTAATTTTCTTGCACTGATAAATTCTTCTACATGATCACTTTAATGGCCACATATTTTGTTTACTTAATCCTCAGTTATTGGATGCTAGGATGTTTCCAGGGTTTTTTGCCATCACAAATAAATCGATATCTTTAATTATAGGGGCCATTCTCAGAATCACTGGGCCAAGGGGGGATGTCACTGAGCTATGATATTGCTTAGGTGGTCCTTTCTCCCATCTAGGGATGGTGCTCCCCACGTGATTAAGCGGAGTCCTGGGAAGGAAAGGCACCATTATGTCAGTGCTTAAAGAGGGAGAGACATTTTTCCTCACGCTCTGTGACCAGGCTCTATGCAGATCACCACCCTCCTGCTGGCACCTGGTGCCTCCTGACGGGTTAAATGCTCCCAGCATCCCCCTCCTCTTACACTGCATCTCTAGATATAGCTGTTTCTGACAGGATATAGAAAGGCATCTTCTGTGCCCCCTGGACTTTGTCATTTGGGGGTCTAGGTTCTTTGTCCTCCTTGCCTCTGCCACATAATCTTCCAGCCCTAACCAGAAAGGAAAGAATGAGCTGCAGGTAAGGAAGCTCCTTTCAGTTTAGCTGTGCTCTTACCTGGATTGGTCAATTTCAAATTTTAAAACTAAGGATGTTCTCAAGACCCTGGGATGGAGAGGTGCTGCCATGGAGAGCTATGGGGGAAAAACACCATTTGTTCTTACACCGGTGCGTGTGAATCCTCGGGGCTGGAGGCAGCAGAGAGGAAAGACTACCTTCGCAGACAGACTCTAAAGAAGTTGGACCTGAAAAGCAGTTGGGACACCCCAATCTTCTCTGATCATGATATGGAAGATGGGTGTTCAGTGCCCTCTTCTTTTCCAGAGCACCCTTCTGCAGGCTCTTTCCCTCTGCTCACTCCAGGCCTGGGGCAGCGGTGCAGTGATGCTGGAGGCTCTGTCACTTCAAATACCATGGAAGAGCCAGAGAGGGACCCACAACTTGGAGCAAGACCTGCAAACTCTATCCCAGCCTGTGTCCCCATCACTGACTGTAAAAAGCAGCCTGTGGCCTACAGGTTCCCCACAGCCTGGGAAATGTCAGGGAGAGACCCCCAATCATCCCTCCTCCCTTAACGACATTATTTTCACCTGCCAGAAGTCACGTAGCCCATGCATACCTCGTTATTGACAAGCACACAGTTGATGTCTACTACGTGTGTTAAGATTTATGCAATTGTCTTTTTTTTTTTTGCAGTTTTTGGCTGGGGCTGGGTTTGAACCTACCACCTCCAGCATATGGGGCCGGCGCCCTACTCCTTTGAGCCACAGGGACTGCCCTGCAGTTGTTTTAAGATACTTTATAATTAAAGCTGTTTCCACCATTCAGTGGCTGGCTGCAGTTGTCAGCTACATCAGCCCTCCTGACGCCAGCCTAGCTCTCGGCTCCTGTCTTTCTTTGTGTCCCTCTCCCCGTCTTTCATGGCCTTTCCACTCAGGTCAACTCTCCCTCCTCAGCCAGTGGAGAGAGGTCCCTCTCTCTTGCTGGTACTTGACATGTGGCGCCCAGTGAACCTGAGTATGTAAAAGGAAATTCAAGGTGAGGGAATCCTCGTTCCCCACCACACCTACTCTGGTTCAAACAGGGGCGGGATAGTGGAACTAAGCAGGTGAGGAAAGCCCCTGTGATAAGAGAAAATTGAAAAAAAAATGTGGAACTGTACAGTTAGTTTTGGGGGGTAATTTGGTCAGGAATAATTCTGTATGTCTGTGGGTATGCCCACCTGTGGGTATTTATGGCCATCTGTGGGATGTGTATGTGATTTCCCTGGAAATTGTTAGGTTAAAGTGGGCAGTGGCCAGCAGGGGCCCCCCCAGCCTGAGAAATGCCAGGGAGTGACCCCCCCACCACCACTTCTCTCTTAACATTGTTTTCACCTGCCAAAAGTCACATAGCCCATGCATACGTTCGTCAATATCATCCAGCCCACAGTTTTTCCTCTTTAAGGTTGATCTCTACCCTATGTGTTAAGATTTATGTGATCTTAAGATACTGTATAAATAAAGCTGTTTCTACAGTTCAGCAGCTAGCTGCAGTCATCAGCTGCGTCTGCTCTCCTGACGCCAGCCTAGCTCTCGGCTCCTGTCTTTCTTTGTGTCCCTCTCCCCGTCTTTCATGGCCTTTCCACTCAGGTCAACTCTCCCTCCTCGTGCCAGGTGGTCGCATGACAATTCGTAACAACTGACCCTGCTCCCCATGGTCATGTGCACTTGAGAAGGCAAGAATGGATACACAGGTTGTTCTTTGCAGGCTCCTGGCTGAGAGTCTGTTCCCTTCCTTGCCTGCTCCAGGCTGCCCCTTCCATTCCCAAAGGCTGTGAATGCTTTGGGTTCCATGGTCCTGTAAAAGGGGCCACTCCCATCCCACATCTCTACTCAAGGCGCCTCATTTTTGTTTTCTGATTTCCTTTGCTAGCTCCTTCTGCTCCAGTGATAAATCCGCAGGCCCCCAACTCAGCCACGGGTTCCTCAGTCCGAGTGTGCTGGAGCTTGTACTCCGATGACACTGTGGAGAGCTACCAGCTGTCCTACCGGCCAGTGCAGAACAGCTCACCTGGGAAGGACCGAGCAGGTGAGGCTCTGTCAGAAATATGCTCATGGTAACGATCTAGGCTCAGAGGCCTGTGCCCTGCCTCCCTGGTAATTGGGAAGGTGGAGATGGGCTGGGTCTGTACAGAGAGCAGAGGGTGGGGTGGCAGGTGGGCATGGTAGAAAGAGCTAGAAAGGCCACAGTGTGCACAGGAAGAGCCAAGAGACCCCTGTTGGGGAGGCCTGGCTGGAACCTGGCATGTCCTGCACATGAGGGTTGGGCTGGCTCCTCTCATGGCAGCTCTGTGCTACAGGGGGACTAGGGTCAGTGTGCAGACCCTGTGAGGGGCAGGCCTTTGCAGCAGGAACAGTTGCTGCTGACCAGCTCCCCATTCCCAGGTTGAGTCAGCTCCTAGGAAGGGTTCCCCGCAGCCCTCACTGTGGGCAGCTCTTGGCCTGTCCTCTGCCCAGGAAATGGGGCTGGCTGGTATGAGGTCGGGGCTGGGATGGAGCCCCACTGATAATCAATAAGCTCTTTTCAAGGTGAAAGGATCAGATACAGGAGAGCCCCAGCTGAGCATCTGAAGAAATCCGGGGATTGAGACTGGCCTGCTGGGCCTATCCTGTGCCCATGAGGTTGGAGTGAGATTACTGGAAATGGGCTTAGAGGTCTCAGTTTTATGGGTGGGGAAACTGAATCCCAGAAAGAAATGAGGTGCCCTGGGGATGCAGTGAGTTATGGCAGAACCAGGATGATGGTTGGGTATGTGGGCTCCCTGCCCAGAGCCCTGCTCAGTGACCAGGCCACGTGAGTCACTTCTGACCTCCAGAAGGTGAGGCCTCTACTTCTGGCCAGGAAGGAAGGGAATTCTTGAGAAAAATGAGAGTGAGTTGAAGTGATAAGGGAGGGTGAGGGTGATCAGAATCGGGACTAAAGAGGACACAGGCCTGGGGATGGCAGAGCTTTCACAAAGGGAGGCTGAGGACCAAGGAGTCAGACTACTTAACCCTGGCTTTGGCCACAAATCATCCTGCTGGCACCCCCTGCAGACAGACACCACTGTGACACAGCCCAACACTCTGTAGGAAGGTCTTTTGTTTTTTTTTGTTTTTTTTTTTGAAGACAGAATCTCACTATGTTGCCCTCAGTAGAGTACCGTAGCGTCACAGCTCACAGCAGCCTCCAAGTCTTGGGCTTAAGCAGTTCTTTTGCCTCAGCCTCTCAAGTAGCTGGGACTACAGGCGCCGCCCACCCCAACGCCGGCTATCTTTTTGTTGTTGTTGTTGCAGTTGTCATTGTTGCTTAGCTGGCCCATGCTGGGTTCAAACCAGCCAGCCTGAGTGCATGCTGGGGTTCAAACCAGCCAGCCTGAGTGCACTCAACCACTTTGCTATGGGCACCAACCCTGTAGGAAGGTCTTTTAAAAGAACCATTTTGGTATGAAGGAATGAATATTAGAGGGTGGATTAATGAGTTTTCACTGCCTTGCAAGATTCTGGGGACGTTTGGAGCTGGTATCAGTTTTTGCTGCATAACACCCCATCCTCCTACAACTTAGTGGATAATGAACACTTACTATATCTTATAATTCTATAGGTTGACTTGACAGTTCTGGTCTGGACCACCTTAGATAGGGCTAGATAGTCTAGGATGGCCTCAGCTCTGATGGGATGACTTGGGTGGTGGGGGCCTCTCTCCCTGTGGTCTCAAATTCTCCGTAAGGCCAGCTTGGCCTTGTCACATGGTAATGGAAGCGTCTCCAGCACTAAGAGAATGAGCTGCTGTGCACCAGCCCTTCCTAGGCCTCTGCACATACACTGGTCAGAGCACGTGACGTAGCTGAGCCCAGCTTCAAGGACTAGTAAGAAAGACTGAACCTCTTAATGGGAGGAGCCTCAGAATCTGACTGCAGAGGGGTAGGCATGCAGGGGTGGGAGAAGTCTAAAGCCACTTTCATAATCTGCTTTAGTGGGACTTGGTGCAATGAGTTTGGATCTACTTGGCCTACTTGTAGAGATGAATTCTCATCTTGTTTTTCAGAGTTCACTGTGACCATCAAAGAAACATATTGCTCAGTGATGAAACTTGTGCCGAATACACAGTATGAATTTTGGGTGACGGCTCATAACAGAGCTGGCTCCAGCCCTCCGAGTGAGCACGCAGTGTACATGACAGGTAACGGGCTGCCTGTGTGCTGCAGCAGGCCGCTCTTCAGGGGGGTTCTGGACATGACTGTGCACTTGAGTTCATTTGGAAGGGCAGGAAGAGCTGTGTGGTTTTCTTTTTATTTAATATACCAAATCTACATGCCTAGCATGACAGGGACACGTTCTCATGGCTGGTCTTAAAACAAAGACTGCTACTTTCTGTCACGCTGACATTTGAGCCTCGCAACCATCCTCCACTCTAGGGACATGTGAGAGGAATTCTCTGATTTGCTTTTTATTGTACTGAAACTTTTTGCAGGAGAAAGAGGGTTATGACTGTCCAGGCTTGGAAAGAACTGGCTGGAGATGAACACAACATTTTTCCATCTCTCCCTTTCACCCACGTTTAGCACCTTCTCCCCCCATCATCAAAACCAAAGAGATAAGAAGCTGTGAGGAGGCGGCGCTGATTTGCTGGGAGTCTGGGAACCTGAATCCCGTGGACTCATACACCATGGAGCTGACCCAGGCAGAAAGGCCGGAGGCTGCAGGTGTAACTGAGTGAGTCACAAGAGCACCGGACACAGTGACATGGCTTAGGAAGTGTGAGTCTAGAGAGGTGGTCACGTTTGTGACACATAGGAGTCTTCATTTAGGTTGCCTCATTTTCGTAAGTAGCTGGGATGTTATTACTGAGGGTGAATGATGAATGAACATGTAAGTTAGTTTAGTCTCACATTTGCTTTGCTTTTTCTTTTTAAGCCCCAAACCATTCATTCATTCAAGAATGGAGCACTTAGCTGGTGCGAGGTCCTGTGCACAGCCCTGGGTAACTACAAACAAATTTCTTGCCCTAATGGAGCTGACAGTCAAGTAGGGAAATAGACAAAAAGCAAGAAAACCAACATATAAAATGCAGTGCTAGGAAGGGAAATGTAATGAAACATAATGGGGATGGAGGTGAGGCTCTGCTCTGGTGAGAGGGGACATGTTTTAAATGGAGGCCTGAACCAGACGGGAAAGACTGAGCACTGACAACTCTGGGTACAGGGGTGCGTGGCATGGGCCCCAGCAAGGGTGAGCTGGTTATCCTGGAGAAAGTGGCTGAAAGTCAGGGAGCAGAGAGGGAAAAGCATGAGGCAAAATTTGCAGCTCAATGTACAAAGAATGTTACATCTGTCATAGGAGGCTGTCTGGAAGGCACAGGCTCAGCGCTAGTTGTCAGAGGTGGAGGGGCTCACCCCAGCCTTCAGGAGTATGCAGCTGTGCACCACAGAGGAAGCATGGATGTGCTTCTGGCTGACAACTAGGCAGTCCAGAAAAGCGTGGAAAGGACTGAACCAGCTGAGCAGCACAGTACCAGCCACCATGCCCAGGTGTTGACCTGCTGTGTAGCTCAGGGGTGCACTGACCTGGATCTGGAGAAAGGAATCGGGGGTTGATATCACCTGTTAGGGAGGCAGGTTCTTCTTTGCTGAATGCCAAGCTCAGAATCTGCCATCTGGGTGGCGCCTGTGGCTCAGTGAGTAGGCCAATGGCCCCATATACCAAGGGTGGCAGGTTCAAACCCGGCCCCGGCCAAACTGCAACAAAAAAATAGCCGAGTGTTGTGGTGAGTGCCTGTGGTCCCAGCTACTTGGGAGGCTAAGGCAAGAGAATCATCTAAGCCCAGGAGTTGGAGGTTGCTGGGAGCTATGTGACACCACGGCACTCTACTGAGGGCAATAAAGTGAGACTCTGTCTCTTAAAAAAAGAAGAATCTGGCCATCTATTGCAGGCATCCACAGCCACATACAAGAGAGGGGTTGCAAGCTAGTGATTCTGACCATCTTAATAGTTTAGGTTTCCTTTGCTATTTGTGCTGACAGTTTAGGAGTACCTGACACCTGGGACCAACTCATAATAATCAGAGGGCTACTTAGTCCTGTGAGACGACCTGTGAGGAGGTAATCATTTTCCCAGTGCAAATTAAATCATAACAGCCAACTGCCAGAGAAAAGACAAAACCCACCTGTAATCCTAGCACACTGGGAGGCCAAAGCAGGAAGATCCCTTGAGCTCAGGGGTTCAAGACCAGCCTGAGGAAAGACAAAATCCAGTCTCTATTTAAAATAGAAAAGATGGCTCAGCACCTGTGGCTCAAGCGGCTAAGGTGCCAGCCACATACACCTAAGGTGGCGGGTTGGAATTCAGCCCCGGCCCGCCAAACAACAATGATGGCTGCAACAACAACAACAACAACAACAAAAAATAGCCAGGCGTTGTGGCAGGAGCCTGTGCTCCCAGCTACTTGGGAGGCTGAGGCAGGAGACTTGCTTGAGCCCAGGAGTTGGAGGTTGCTGTGAGCTGTGATGCCACAGCACTCTACCCAGGGGGACAGCTTGAGGCTCTGTCTCAAAAATATAAAATAAAATAGAAAAGACAGCCGAGTGTGGTGGTACCAGTAGTCCCAGCCACTGGAGAGGCAGGAAGATTGCTTGAGCCTGGAAGTTTGAGGCTCCTGTGAACTAGGATAATGCCACAGTACTCTACCCAGGTCAAACTGTCTCAAAAGTAAAGGACAGAACTCCCATATAGGCTCTCTCCTTCCTGCCCCAGCAGACCCTCACACACCAGCTCCCCTCCTCCAGCCCCTGCCACATCAGTCATGTTTTAGTCTCTCCTACTTTCCATGCTCCTTCCTGTGACAGGGCCTTTGCATGTGCTTCTTCTGTGTGGGAGACTCCTCTGCGATCTTCTCATCCAGTTACCCCCCTAATCATTATTCAGAGTGCTGCTCAGAAGTCACCCCCTTCTCAGACTTACAGCTCACTGTTGACTTATCACAGTCACCACCTTATCCTTCTAGTGACTGCCTAAGAAAAACCTCTCTTCCCATCTAGACTAAGCTCTAGGGGCCAGGTCCTCCCTATATAGTGCCCGGAACCTAAAGAACTCATTTCATATTTACTGGATGAATAAAATGTCCCTCTGGCCTGCAGCCGCCATCTCCGAGATAAACTGGATGCGGTCCTGTCTGGGTGAGGGTGCTGTGTCTGCATCTAGGTGTCACTCTGAGGATTTTTCTTGGCCACTGGACTGACATGGGGTTGGTAACAACAGCAGTACAGAGGCAATTACGGCTCATGTTCCTGGAAGACAGTTTAAATTGGAGTATTCCCTGCAGGCCCAAGAGAGTAGACAGCAGAGGGCCTTTGTGTACCCTCTCAGCTGTTGTGTCATTTGTCACAAACACAGACAAGGGCCTTCTGTGTGCCCAGAAGTGTTCTTGAGAGGTCATGACCTCAACAGACAGGGACAGACAAACTCCGCACATGCGTGCAGACTCTGGACACACCAGTCAGACGTGCATGAAGCCCTGTGCTGGGGAAACCGGACAGGGGGCTTGGTAGGGAGACGGCCACAAACACGAGTGGGATTGCAACGAGAGCCGCAGGTCAGAGGCCGTGGCAGGGAGATGGATGGGGCTGGTGTCCCTATTGTGTGTGGTGTATCAAGAGACAGGGCACGGGAGCAAGTTATACCCCCCAGTTTTGAAAGGGGGGTCCTAATCCTGGGCTGACTGCAACTCTGCTTCCCCCTTTAGATCTGTCGTGGGCATCCCAACCTGTGAGTCCCTGGTGCAGCTACAGCCTGGGCAAAGCTACCTGGTCTGTGTGCGAGCCCTCAACGTGGGGGGGCCCAGCGAGAGGAGTCAGCCTGTTGCAGTCCATACCAAAGGTCTGTGCCCAACCCAAAGTGGTCGTCTGTGGCAGCCCCAATGCTGCTGGGACTTCACTAGAACATAGGTGAATGTGTAAACATGAACACATGGCAAAACAGGCCTAGAAAGGGCTCAGGGTGATGAAAGCCTGTAGTTTCATTTTATAGATGGGAAGCCCAAGACACACAGCAATTTGGTAGCTGGGCAAGAAAAACTCAAAAGTTTTTCTCCATGATTCTCAGGTCATGAGAGGATACAGGCTTGGCACACTGGACCTGGTGGCCCATATACCTCACACCAGCTGAATACCAGCCTTAGCGCTGGGTCTTTGTGAAATTCCCAGGAAGAGCACTGGCTCTGACTCATCTCCCTGCTCCTGGCACCACCCAGCCTCCTCCCAGGCCCTGCCTGGCCCCACATCCCTAATTCCAGCTTACCCACTGTCATGTCATAGAACTGTCACATCTCACATCCAAATCTTGAGTTAGCAGAAACACTTCACACATCTTCTGCTGTCTGAGCACTGCTGTGGCTCTGGGTTCAGAGCTTTGCCAAAGTGCACTGAAGCCAGGTTGCTCCTCCCACACCTCTCAGAGTAAGTGTGGCTCCAGCTGGCAGCCCAGTGGGCAGGCATGAAAGAAGCAAATACTGGGAGCCTGGGCCCACGGCTAAGAGGACAGCAGTCCCTTAGCTGGGCTCTGTCACTGAGAGACTTCTGTCATTTTGTCCTCATTTCCAATGCTAGGAAAAGAGGTACATGATTAGCTCCCACTTATATAGTAATCCCCCCTTATCATTGGGGGATACATTCTAAAAGACCCCCAGTGGATGCATGAAACCACAGAGAGCACTGAACTTACATGTAGGATATTTTTTGCTGTACATACATACCTAAGATTGAATTTATAGATTAGGCACACTAACAATAAATAGGATAATTATAATAATGTACTATAATAAGTTGTATGAATGTGGTGTCTCTCTCAAAACATCTTATTGTACACAATATTTTCAGACTGCAATTGACCTTGGGTAACTGAAACTGCAATTGACCTTGGGAAATTGAAACCCCAAATAAGGGGGAACTATGGGATTCCTCTCACAAAGATGGGAAAAACAAGTAGCCACCCAAGGTCCCAGAGCTGGTAGGGATTAGTGCTAGACATAGGACTCAGATTTTTCTTTTGTGCTGGGGCCTTCCCTCAGTAGTCTGGCCCATCTGATGTCTAGTGCTGACTTGGTGTTTTGAAATGTCAAATTCTGGCTGTTTCGATAAAAATATATTATTCAGTTGTCTCTTTCTTCAAATTTTGAGTGTATTTATAAAAAACTATCAGCAAAAAATGTTCAAAAGTGATCTTTGTCTGAGACTACCATGTTTCCCCGAAAATAAGACACTGTCTTATATTTATTTTTTCTCAAGAAGACACACTAGGGCTCATTTTCAGAGGATGTCTTATTTTTATTAAATATAATACAACAATCTACATTTATTCAAATACAGTTAAGTCATCTTCTGGAACCTGACAGGGGGAGCCGACCTTGTTGGTGGGGCTGGTGCTAGTGACGCGTGAACTCCTTTGCCCTAGCCATTTGCACGTGTGTAATAGGATGCCTGTGACCACAGTTACCACATAAGCACCCGCGCAAGTGCGAATGGCTCGGAGAAAGGAGCTGTGGCAGATAAAAGGTGTTCCAGTCTTCCTTACTGCTCCGCTCTGAAAGCTCCGAAATGCATGGTGTGGCTACGCAGATCCTCTGCATAGCCACGCCCATCACTAGGTCTTACTATCAGGGTAGGGCTTATATTTAACAAATGCATAGAAGTCCTGCTAGGGCTTATTTTTGGGGTAGGTCTTATTTTCAAGGAAACACAGTAGTGAGCAGGAAGTAAGAACCATACATTGTGCAGTTGTAAAGTGGGAATGTGCCTCCCCTAACCAGTCAACTCAGGTAGCAGGTAAAATTTCCAGTAGCATCAGCTTGTGAAAATAATTATGAAGAGTTTGATGGTGATGATTCAACTACAGTTTGAGACAAGAAGAGACAGAATGGGAACTGAAGAGACAATAATGGAGAATGGGGACCCTAACTTAATAAAATTATAAAATTAGCTGGATATTGTGGTGCTGGCCTGTAATCCCAGCTACTCAGGAGGCTGAGCCAGGAGAATCCCTTGAACCCAGGAGCTCAAGGTTACAGTGAACTATGTGGTCCCATTGCACTCTAGCCTGGGCAATGGAGTGAGACCTTGTTGAGAGAGAATGAGTAATTTTTAAATTTCTTATTAGCTCTATCCTGTTCCACTTTTTGATGAGCTTTATTTTAACCATGATTTGGGGATGACTCTAGCCCCCTTCCTTTTCTTCCAGTGCCCTAATTGCAAGATGAATATTAAATTTTGCTAAGCTTTTGTCCAAGGGTTCATTAAGAAGTCCCTCAATTCCTTTTTTTTTTTTTTTTTT